ACAATTAAAAAAAAACAAGCATCCTATTGTATCTTAAGCCTGATACTTCTTATTCCTCTGAGCTATAGAGCTCCATTGTTGCCTAAAAACAAGTAAAAAGAACACATCTGTGAGCCTCACTATTCTTTCATCACCATGAATATGGGCACTGTGGTTTATTTTGAGGCATTCCCATGTACACCGTCCTGCTGCTGTAAATATTCACTAGTTCTCTGTATGTGTATGAATCTGCAACTGAAAATAGTCCCAAAGACTTAGATTGTTTACACCTGTTTGAGTAACGTTTGGTAAAAGCTATAGTACGCAGCTGGAATGAAAAATGAAACTATGAATTTGTAATCTGATTTTTAAAGATTTACTTTAAAAAGCTTAGAGCTGAGTGCCACATAGTTTTGATCTTAAATATAATGTTGTCTGACATGTTCCAAATCTAACAAACTGTCAAATCACTATAGATAATGAGTAGGACAGAAATAACAACTGATGCTGGAGGGGGGAGCTGGGGTTGGGATGAAGGCTTGGAGGGCTGGGTCTGAGGCTGGATGGATTGACTTTTACCAGGCGGTGTGATTGTGTCCTTCATTTGTTTTTGTCATTTTCACACAGGCTCTGCGAAGGTGAGACACAGATGAGTGAAATATGGATGTCTGTAAACACAGAGGCGTAGAGTCCCGGTAACAAATAAGGCTGGATCTTCAGATCTGGTTCTTTGAACAACTCCTTCCTCTGACAAATCCTGAAGTATCTCAGCTGTCAGGCGTAATAGAAGTATAAATTTGTACTGAGGTTGCCCTCCATATCCCCTGTCTAACTCCATGCCCCATAAATGTCATTTATGTGTGAAGTAACACATGGAATATGGGGATGAATATGAAGAAGTCTCCTAAAAAAACAAAATGTTTAAGACAAGACACTGGCTCGCAATTTAATATTCCTACATTATAATTTGTGGGTATTCATTTGTAAAAAGATATAATAAGCACTAATCACAAAGTAAGTAACTGCATTGCTGCATTTTATTTTTAACAAGTAGATATGTCATTGGGACAAAATTGGTGTCTGCAGACTGCTTTTACTGTTGTGATGTGTTTACAGAGGCAGGCTGTTAAATAAACTGCACAAAATACTCGGGCAATGTAAGCTCATTCAGGAGCAATGATGCAGTCAAGGGCAGCGGTTATTCATCTCAGGCTGATCTCCTGATAGAACATGATGCCAAATGCAGACATCCCTTTGGCTCACTGCATTTTGCGCTATAGGCAAGAGTTTGATGTTTGGTTGAGAGGACAGGACAGCAGCAAAGTGGATGCTTGGAGCGCTTCCAGGGATTAAACTCATGAATCTAACAGCAGCCAGTGGTCATCATGACACAAACACTGCATGGGTGGTAACGCATGCACAGCGTGGGGTCTTTGGCTTGGAAAAAAAAGAAAAAGAGAGAGAGACAGAAAAAGAACCGAAACCATAAAACCATAAAATGCCTGCAGACTTTCCTTCAATCTTCATATTGCACATTTTATGTGGGCTACGCTTTTTATTAGACGTGACATATGTTTTGTGGCTCGCGTCTCGCTGAAACTGTGTTTTTAAAATTGTGGGAGATAAATGATAAAAGGTGGAGCTGTGTATTTTGAGTGTTTAAGACATGTTTTTTTGACACATGATTATTTCCAATACATAAATTTATTTAAATTTATTAAGTCTCATAAATGAACAAGAAATCTTATTACGGTGTTGATATAGTAGCATGGAAGCAAAGAGCAGCTGAAGTCTAATTTTTATTTTACTCCTGTTATCTGAAGATCACAACTTAATTATCCCTTTATCTCATGAAATCAGACTTTGTTTACTTGTGATTATAATTTCAGTGTCTCATCGTGATAAGATAACACTGAACTGCTTTCACGACATCACAACTTAATTATGTGACTGATTGCGGCTGCAGCGTCCGCCCGCGTCTGCAGCGGCTGCAGCGTCTGCCCGCGTCAGTAAAATCTCATGGCTGGACTAAATGTTGTTCTGTTCAGCGCTCTTAATCCCCACACTCTCTTCTCTTCTCTTAAAGGTCAACACTGGCTCAAAGGTCGTGACACACAAAAACCCTCATGCATGATTAACTGGCCGTCACTGAGATGATTAGATTAGCGTTATGATGATTGTAAGCAGATGTATTTTTGTTCATGTTCCATGTAATCCACTTGAAAGGACCCTTGAATTGTTACAAACGTGTTGAATATATTTTCCACCTTAAAGCAGCTGCAACACCTTTTTTTTAAAAAAATTAAAATGCATTGAAAGCTTACACTCTTCTTTGCATTGCTACACACTTGGCAGTTACCGACTGTTGATGTGCATTAACACCCTCAGCAGCCGTATCATGTCACTGTCTTCCTCGTGCCGTGTCTGTCATCAACACTTACAAAAAAAAAAGCACATTTAAAAATTCATGCCTGGAAAACACAAATTTGATTCGATTTCAATTGAATTTACTATCAGAAGATTTTTCTGAAAGTCTTCTTGCAGACCAAGATATACGCTGCTTCACACACATAACAAAAAACACCACATTTAAGCAAACAACAAAACAGAGTTCCGTAGTCTGTTCGTTCCAGCCTGAGGGGCTCTAAATTTTTCCGTTTGATGGCCAAAGCTGATGTTCTTCAAATAAAATATGAGCGGCGTGATGTAATACGACCAGCCAGAGACAATATTCTTTCAGTGTTTGCAGTCTGAAAACTTGACTCAAGTGTTTGACCAGCAATCCTAGAGCAGATACCTACAGTATATATCAGTCTAGTTAGTCTAGCTTTGAGGTGAATGGAGAGACAGCTGCGCCTGAAGTGTGCCCTAAGTATTCACTTCACAGCATTGTCCATGTTTAAATTGTTTTATCAAGAAAAACGGGTCATTTTTTTTCTTTTGAGATAGCTGCGCAAAAAGCTTGCATATTTACATGAAGTCAAGTTAATTTTATTATCAAACTTTAAAGGTCCCATATTGTAGAGAGTGAGATTTTTCTGTGTCTTTTTTTATTATAAAGCAGACCTATGTTCTATATTGATACTCTGAAAGTATCAAAGAGCTCATTCCACAGAGAAATGTACACAGCCTGTATTCAGAAACTGAGCCGTCAGGACTTCTGTAACTTTGTGATGTCATAACAAAGCAGTCATCACCCTCAGCCATGCCCAAGCCCCAGCCACCAGGACCCACCATCCAACCTTAAAGGATTAGGTTTCTTTGGAGTGTTTACCTGAAAATCTGCTGTATTTCTATTCGATCACTCAGAAAGCAGACAGCCAATCAGAAGAGAGACTCAGAGCCTCTCTTCTGATTGGCTCACTGACCTGTTGTTTCTAGAGCTCCAGAGAGAAGCCTGAGAGAGGAGATAAAACTACATTGAGATAGTTTTTGGTACTTTTTGTACTTCAAACCACAACTATATCTTCTTACGGATCAAAACTTCAAATAAAACACTGGAAATGTGTAAAATATGGTACCTTTAATAAACGTGAGCTTCTTCTCTATATGTAGCTCAATCTTACAAAACCATATTTCTCCAAACTTAAGATCATAGTATCATGAATGTAAGAGAGCATGCTGATTTTTCACCCATATTTGCTAAACCCAGACACAGTAATGATAACAGTATAACACACAAAATATAACAGATTACAGTGAGTAATCTGGTCGGGGCAGGGGCGCTGGATAAAGCATTTATGAGCTGCATTAGTTTGATTACTTTAAAATGCCACAGTTTACAGGCTCGGTCGGTAATCAGATTTCCCTATAACCCTCTCCAAAAAGTAATCCGACATCTACTGTGTTAGCAGAACGAAAACCATGGAGTTTGATGTTTTCACTTGCAAATCACAACCTATAACACCCTCCCACAAAACAATGACCTAAAGAAAGTTGAGCCAGCTACAGGCAAGTAATATACAGGACATGTGGTAAACTTATGGTGGTGAAGCCAATGGCTAGCAGTGTAGCAGTGAAGTAATGAATGACCTGCTTTGTTTCTATCGGTGGAATTCATCTTTTTTTGGATTATCTGACAGCATTAGTTTTAGCCGGGTGTACCTAATAAACTTGCTATTGAGTGCATTTGAAAATTTGCTGCAGGTGCTAGGCTACTACTATACTATGTATGCTAATAGCATTAGCAGCAGAAACAGAAGGATGTATTAGCTGGAGTAGCATAATAAAAGCAGCAATGTCAGGCTGTTAACAACAGTAGAAGTGCAGTACTACTAGTAACTGCAGCAGCTGTGTCATTTATTTAATTCATAGAATTGATCACTTTTGTTCAAGTTCATCTGAAGTAAGTGTGCAAGTCTTTGTTGGATGCACAAAAGAGAGGAAAAAAAAGCAAGGATATCATGAGCATGGAACCTTGTGAGGAAATGATCATTATTAGAAAACAGCAGTAGAGCTGTAGTGTTAACATGACAGTATGAAACACATGCTAATTTGTGCTGGCATGGTAGCTGCTGGTGCATTTATTCATTTACTTCATACAGGGCCGCCCAAATTTAATTGGCCATTGTAATATTACATGATCTATGGCTTACAAGGTTTTATAGGAAGTAGCGAGTCTAACTGGAGGCTTTTACAAAAATAACCATGTATTGATTGATTCAAACCCACACTCAACCTCTGACTTTGCAACTATTAATCAGGGATTATGCAAATATATAAATATATATATATATATATATATATATAAGCGCACGTATAAAAACATATAGGCTAGCTCCTATTACTGAAGTGAAACGCAGCCCCACCACAGCTCTAATCTCCCGTTCTTCCATTCTCCTTTTGTTTTTGTCGTTCGTGTTTTTTCTCTCTCTCTCTCACTCTCTCTCTCTCTTCCTCCCCTTCTCCTTTTTTTGCCGTGTTCTGCTGGGGACTTGTGAATGGCAGCCAATGGGAGGGTTGAGTCCCCTCAGCCTCTCAGCCTCCCTGACATCCACAGCGAGAAGTGATGCAGCGCGACTGAGACGCGCAGTTGAGGTGGAACACAACGGGCAACAAAAAAAAATCTGCAGTGAACGGATACACTTGGCTCCGGCGTGCGCCTTTCACAAACCCCCGGGAAAAATTTCCTCCCAGAATAAACTTCATTATCAGGTGAGCGGGGCTTTTGCTTACAACTTCTATCGGGCTGTGGAAACGGGCTCGTTTTGTGTGGTACATTTCGCCAGTTACTTCTGCGGCGTTTGTAGCCTATCATGATTTTGTCCGAGCCGGGTTATCTAGGGCTGCTCACTCACACACACTAATGACTAATGCGAAACAGTTGTGTCGCTTTGATACGGGCTTCTGTATATTCTAATTAAATGAGTGAGCGGAGCAAAAAAAAAAAAAAGAAATCCATATCTGTTGTGGACTAATTGGTGAAATAACTTCGGGCTTTGAATTGGAAATGAGTTTGAATCGGAACTTATTTGTATTCACATTAGCAGCCCGTTCGTTCCGTTTACAGCGCGGGTCAGACGATGGCCGGCTGCTTCTTCAACTTTTGTATTTTCGTGATATGTCTCTGTGCGTAGTTCTCGTTCGTTTTCTCGGAAGGAAACGTGTCCCCCTCCTCACACAACACACACACACACACACACACACACACACACACACACACACACACACACACACACACACACACACAGGGGTCCTGCAAGACGCAGTAGGTGCGTTTACCCCCGCCGAGCTGAAGTGAGGCGGGCATGGCATGGCATGATATGGCATGGCATCCAGGCCTGGGCTTTGAACGCACCTTTTTCCGCCTTATTTTTTTTGTAACGTTTGAAACTTCAGGCCTTTCCATAACGTCCATAAGCTGATCCTCCACCCCACCTCCCCCTTAGCTCCCTCTCTCTTTCCCTCCCTCCCTCCACCGATGATCTTGCTGCAGCCAGTGGCAAATCCACGGGATGCGAATCGATGCAGGTGGGACAGCATGCTCTGATAAAGGCGGATGACTGTCTATCTGTGGTTGCCTGCAGTGGCACAGTGATGCTCTACTGCCTTTTCTTTTTGTAGAGATCAACTGAAAGGGCCTGCTTTTTTCCTCCTCCTTTTTTTTTTTTTTAATTTTTTTTATAGGGGGAGTGAGCACCCCTGGAGTTGACTCAAGTTTTCTAAAACAACATGTCCTCCAGCGTTATTGACAACAAGATGATATCAGTGATGTGCCTGTGAATATTTAATGGACCTGCTGAATAATGCAGGAAGGCCTATAAAAGAATTAACTTGGCTTCTTTGCTCAAAAGTTACAGGTATTGACAGCAAAAAAATAAAAATAAAAACGGGGGGGGGGGGGGGGGGTGGAGTGAGTCTTAACAGAAAACCTGTGCAATCCTGAAAATTGAATCTAGTGCTTTGCAAAGTTTTACTGTCCTTCCTGTTGCCTGCAGATTGCTCCATGTTAGTTAGTGCGCTGGCTCAGTGTGAGCCTGAGGTAATATGCCTGAAGGCGGCCAAGAACTTGTTTGGGGGAGTTGTCAAACTACCCGGGGAATATTCCACAATAATCACTCCTCTGCACACATACTTTTTTAAATTACAAACAAGGACTTGTGCTTATGAAGGGGAGATTGGGCAATGATGTAGGTTCTGAAAAAGAAGCGTTGCATTTTTAAAGATTAGGTTAACTTCACTGCTTGTCTTTCTTTTCTTTTTTTTTCTTCTTTTTTCTCTATTGGAACAACTTCCAGCTTGTTTTTCCAATGGTAGAGAGCAGTGTGGTGAAAGGAGAAGATCATCTGAACCAGAACAGGTTTTGTGGTCCAGGTTGTTCATACGCTGGTTTGAAGTTCAGAGATGAAAGGGACAGGGTAGAATCTGTGACTGATCAAAGTCATACAGAAAACACGGCAGGTACTGAATATTTAAAGGCTCTGCAAATAGAGTTCCTGTGTGTGTGTGTGTGTGTGTGTGTGTGTGTGTGTGTGTGTGTGTGTGTGTGCGTGCATGTGTGTAGGGAACATACAGTACAAAGTGTATATGTGTTTGTGATCCGAGGTGTACGAGTGCTTTGTATGAAGATGTTAAAAGTAATGTTGCAGAACTGATTTGACAGGCAGGGGAGTAGACACATCAGAGCCATCTGCATTTTTTGAACCAGAGCTCAGATTACAATAGACAGTCCCTCACATTTCATCTCTCTCTTCTCCCAAATATCTTCACTCTGTTGGTCATACACAGCGGGCTTAGGGGATATTCCAAAAAGCTCCAGTCTCAATCTGCCGGCCGGCTCCAGCCTGTCCCCGTGAGTGGTGACGTCACATGATGGTGGGTTTACCCGACGGCCAGACGATGATGACCGGTGACCCGAGCTGATTACATTATTTGTGCTCCAGATGGGCAGCATCATTTTTGATGTGTCCTGCTCATAATATTGAATGTTTTGAGTCCTCTGCATGGCGGCATCTGGAACTAATAAAAATCATTTCCCAGTGGCTGCTGTGTGTGCTAACACACACTCCCGCCATCCCCCTATGGGGACGTTCACGGCCTTCTTCCCTCTTCCCTGTGTGTTTGGACACTTGCGGACATTTGTTGAGCTCGCGTGCGTAGCAGCGAGCGGCTCTAATGTGTGTGTGCTTGGCTTACAAATGTTTGAAGTCAGTGGCAGGGAGCACCCCTGGGCATCGTAGTTCACTAGATGCACCTTGATTGTTTGAGTGCATTAGTCACGGTCTGTATGATGTGATAATAAATCATGACGTTGTTTGTACTGCGAGTGCTCCGGGATTCCTCTGAAGATTTCCTTGTGCCAAATATTTATCTGGAGATGCTACTTTCAGTGCCAGCCAAGTGGGTTTCTCTCTTTTCTTTTCTTTTCTTTTCTTTTCTTTTCTTTTCTTTTCTTTTCTCTTTCTTATCCCAGAACAACGCCCCCTGCTGTACAGGACTGGCTTCTTTAGTCACTTCAAGAAGAATGGCGGATTTGATTTTGTTATTTTGTATTTCTCGAGGCTTCTTGTGACCACTCGAGCAAATTTCCTGCAGGCAAAATGGCAACTTAATAACTGCTCCTTGCTAATGAGACAGATTCCCTTCAGAGACGGCTATTTACAGAGCAGTCAGAACTGTAACTGCACGGAGACTAAAATAAAGCAGGATGTATTTCTCACCGATGCAGGAATTTTGACGTCTGTTAAATCTACTTATTGGCAGGGGCTGCCGTCACCTTCCCTCTGAAGGTCAACCTGAGTCACAGATTGAATTTTCTATGACTAAGAAAGACGTTAGAATTAGACGGGATACAGTTAAGCCACGGCAAGGCTGTTTCTCGACAGGTTTCAGCAAAAGGGATTTGAGAGCTGGACGGTGGCCATGAGAGTAGAACGTTCACTGTGGAGTCTGCTTAAATCCCCCCCAAAAAGGCCTATTTTGCTCTATGTGTGCTGAGAAGATAAATACACATGGATCAGACATTTTACACCTCACTTAACAATGGGTAATTATCTCTCCCTGCTTTGTGCAGGAGAACGCCAATTACACAGAAATATACTCATAAATCTATTTTCAAAGTGGTTGCACAGAGATACGGTGCGTGTGTGCTGTGTTGTATGTACAGTGCTGGATGAAGCTGATAGTATACAGTGCATGGCTTAAGAGCTGGTGATAAGAGAAGAGTCCAGCTTTATACAGTATGGCACACAAGGATGGATGTGACTATGAAATCACTTAGATTCATGTCTTTGGGGTGGGAAACAGAGTAAATTGCTGCCAATGTTGAATAATATAGTCTGCCAACAGCTTTTTTCTCCCTCTTCCCCCTCAAACCGTGGCTTGGCTCCACAGCTTTTCTAATTATGAAGTGGCTGAGAGATAGCTTCACAACTCCGATACTGTAGTGGCGGTGAGCGGAAGCTGGCCGAATAGCAATCTAGCTGAATTACCAACAAAGCCTGACAGACTTGTGGAGTTTAGCGAACATATTTGCGAAAGCAACATCCCCACCTACCTATTCAGACACACATTTTGAAGTAGGCACACGCAAACACACACACACACACACAAACATGCACGGACGCAGGCACAAATGCAAGTAAACAAACATAGCACAAAGAAGGAAGGTGTACAGTTCTCCGCACGCTTCTCAGCACAATTTAACAAGATATATTAGTCACCCAGGAGGCAGCAGAAAGCCAGGCATCCACAGTGTGCAGCAGACTGCAGTCTGACAGTGGGAGATAGTGATTTACAACAAAGCCCTGTAGACCATGGCACAATTTCAGAGTTGCGGAAATGACACTGGTAAAGCAGGGGCATGAAAGTCTATCCACCAGCCACGTCTCATTTCTTACACCATTTGCCCTGGGAAGAGGAAGGTGAAGAAGGAGGGGGCAGATGACAAATCCAGTATTGTAGCTACCACACAAAGCCCAGTTGTGCCTGGGAGTTGCATTCTGTTGTGGTGCTGTCTAAAATTTGAGCAACAAGAAGGAAGGAAGCCACGTTCAAGGACGCAGAACATTCCCTCTTGCTTAAATTTGAGGTGAAATCGATTTCTTGACCCTGCGAGCATGCCGTTAGGCTTTGGATTGGATTTGGAATTAAATCTCTACATCCAATATGTGTGTGTGTGTGTGTGTGGGGGGGGGGGGGGGGGGGGGGGGGGGTGGGGGGGGGGGGGAGAAACAATAATCATCTAATAGTGGAAATCACAGATCCAGATCACTATCAAAATCTAATCAACTGTTCCTTGGCTCGAGGCTGATCTGTCCACCAAATTTCATGGAAATTTGTTCATGAGATTCCATCAAAGCCGCCCCCGTCCGAGCAAAAAAAAGGTGACAGTACAACTTCCTTGGCAGAGTTAAAAATGTACCCACTGATTAGCAGCCACACCAGCAGGGTTGGTGTTATTTTCACCCTCAGTCTTTGTGTGACAAAATGTGGTCTTGGACACACCTGCTGTAGTGAGAACTACCACAGAGGAGGTTTGGCGGTACTTTGGCAGGTGTTTATGTGTCTGTCTGTCCGTCTGTGGGCAGCATGATAGTGTCACACTGTCCAAGATACAGTCACAAAACTTTACAGGTGTGTAGTCCAGTGTGAGATCATGATGAAGGCTGAGTTTGAAGATGGGTGTGGTCCGACCCATGAGTACCGAGTAGTCA